AGAGAGAGAGAGAGAGAGAGAGAGAGAGAGAGAGAGAGAGAGAGAGAGAGAATATGAACATGCACTATAGTATCAAAAGAGTATATGGAAACATCACTTAATTAGCCTGAGCTTGGCTGCTTTATCAGTGTCTGACCTGTCTTATAGAATTGTGCTAAGGAGCAAAAAAATAAAACAACCCAAATATAGTATCTTTTTGGCACTTAGTTGGGCTCCATATAGAAAACATTTTTAAAGTACAAAATATGTTACTCAAAATAGTTTTTAATAAAGTAAAACCACCAAACTGGTAGGAGTTTAAAAACTGTTAACAATCCCCACAAGATATTATTCACTCCATGTTTCCACACAATCTGTTTCATTTAAAGGCTACATAATTGTAAAGCTTAAAACTATCAGTATCAAATATTTCAGTAATAATTAGCCAAACTAAATTTGTAACATTCTGTTAAGGGTGTTCATTTGGGTCATACCTATTCTAAGGAAATAGTAATAATATTTACATTTAATTAACTATTCTTTTCATTGTTCAAGTAAACAGCCCAATAAATTACTCAGTTTACAGACAGGGTATAGTGCTTTAGACCCAGCACTATAGGGTCTAAAGATTTTCCTGAAATGAGATACCATAAAAAAATCTATTAAAATTAAGAAATTTGTTTTCATTGTTGGAATTATAACCTATGTCTGATAATGTGTAGCATGCTAAAATGAAGATGAAGCTTTTATAGGTTTGCACCTAAAAAGATACTTACTTTAAAATTATTTGTGTTAGCTCCTTTGCCTTTGAAAAGAAAAAGAGCTAAAAGGGGCAATCAATGAGTTTAAATATTTAGTGTGTACTCAGAATGTTCTATCATGTTTTCTTCTTTGAACTGAACAAAATATTTTATTTGTCTATGTTTGCATGAATATAAACATAGGTGAACAGATGAGCATGCCTTCAAACTTTGCACATGGAGGCCAGAAGAGTGTCAGACTGGGAGCTGGAGTTATAGGTGTTTGCAGACAGACACCCAGCTTGATGTGTGGTTCTATTATCCAAACTCTGGTCTTCATGATAATGCAGCAAACAAGCTCTCTTAACTACTTAGCCATATTTCCACCCCCTTCTTGGAAAACATTTTTAAATAAAAAAATTTAGATTTATTTTATGTGTATGTGTCTGTGTGTGTACCACCTGAGTGCCTGGTGTCAGTAGATATCAGAAGGCAGAAGGTAGCATCAAATTCACTGCAACTAGATATATGAATGGTTGTGAGCCATTATGTGGGTTTGGGGAACCCAACCTGAGTTCTCTGCAAGAACAGTTAAGTGCTCTTAACCACCTCGCCATCTCTCCAATTCCTCACCCCCACCTATTTAGGAAAGACCCCATGTACACCAGACTGACTGCAAACTCATTGAATAGTCCTGCCTTTACCTTGGAACTGATGGAAATGCAAGCATGTACCACCATGCTCAGTTCCACTATGTGTTTTCTATGTTAATCACTAAATTGTTATTGTCATCGACATTTCAGTGTACGTTTAAGTTAACAGGTGCTGACATATTACTGCTGAAAGGCATTTGCCTCCAATACCAGCCTGGAAATTATGCCTTCTGAGTGACTTAATGTTTCACAGTTGATACTTCTTCTGTGTCACAAGACACCAATGAGACATTGACTTTAATCAGGCAGGTAAAGGGAGCTAACAGATAGAAGGCTTGAGTCTAAACAGAGTTGTTTTTTTGTTTTTTTCAGTAAAGAGTAATGTTTTCATTAAGATCAAGGCAGGCTAAGAAACTGGCTGATACTGTACATGACTGGCAACTGTCTTTGAGGATGGGTGGGTATTAAACTCATGGCCTTATGTACGCCAGGAAACTGCTCTACCAACGAACGACATAAACAGCACTTCTTTTTTGCTTTTTGCTTACAGTGTATTTCATACATCAAAACTTCAATGAAAAGAAGACAGTCCAATCTCAGTACTGAGATTCTTAGGAGTTAATTGTTTTCATGCTCTTGGAAGCTGCAGCCATTTTCTTTACTCTAACCCATGCTCTTAGGTTACAGAAATGTTAATAGAGATCTTTGCGAGGTTATCTGAATAGTTTCCCATGCTCGATGAATTAATTTTCATGCCTTACTGGGCTTATCAGACAATTATTCACTATTGTATCAAAGGACTTAGTATCCATTTATCATTTTGGAGGTTTAATTCAGAAATCCCTTTAAGCAAATAGATCTTTAGAATATGAATATTCTCACCTTCATGTTCACAGAATGGAGAACACTGCTAGAGAAGCTTCATTTGTTGCATTTTATAGGACAACATAAAGCATTAAAGCAAACCATAACATAAAATTTATAACTATAGTTAAGTGCCTATATAAATGAGATTAATAGCATTTTTCTTAATGTTAATCAAAATCAACTGTTTTCTCATAATTTCTATTAGATCTTACATTAAAGTATCTGAGTAGATTTAAAGATAAACAGAAGTGAAAAAAACAACTCTTGCCTAGGGTAGAAATTAACTGTCACTACAGCAGGTCTGCTTCATATAAACACAGACCTATTTCTCAGTCAGTTACTACTTTTTACCCCTTATAATTTCTTTCCTTTTTTATTTTTTAATTCTTATTTTTTTTTCAAGATGGGGTTTCTCTGTGCAGTCCTGGCTATTCTAGAACTTGCTTTGTAGACCAAGTTGTCCTTGAACTTGCAGAGATCTGCCTGCCTCTGCCTCCTGAGTGTTGGATTAAAGGCTTGCGTCACTATTGCCCAGCTCTTTTCCTCTTAATAGACCAGTCTGAAGCATCACAAGTAATATTTAAACTATAAAATAATTTGACAACTATTTTTTCTTACCATCTGAATCTTTTTGTCAGAGGTAGTATTGGGATAGCAGGATGGTTTAGTGGGCAAAGTCCCCTTCTATAATGCCTGATGACTTGGAGTAGATCCCTAGCACTCACATAGGAGGAAGAGAGAACCAACTACAATCTGTGTTTGTTCTCTGTCTCATACACACATAAATAAATAAAACATCTAGGACAAAAAAAGATAGTCTTGGGGATTGAATCTCCAGGATTATGAATGCTTACAAATGTGTGCTACCACTGAGCTGTATCTTCAGCTACTGACCCTCCCTGACCCCAACAACTAACCAATTTGTTACTTTGAAAGACTATTTTTAACTGGACTCAGAAGTAGAAGCTCTCAGCAAGGACAGCCTATATCTCTTGGCAATCTGTTCCTGCAGCTTTTCTTGGGCTTCTCTCATTATCTTGGCCAAAAGTTTAACATATCTGTAGCCTCCTCCTCATTTTTCTTAGTGTGTTGTTTCTTTAGACCTCTTTAGACTTCTTTAGTCTTGTGGCGTAACAGATGCTGAACCTTGGGGCTTCTGGTCTTCGGCTCATCACCTTCTTTGTTTAAGAGCTTTCTTGACAACACACTGGTGGACATGATCTTTAGAGAGACGGAAAAGTTCAGATTCTGCTAGTTCTTTTGGGTTCTAATCGTTGAGGCACAGTGTCTGTCAGTCTAGAAATATCCTTCTCTCCTTTTGTTTTTTGTTTTGTCTTTAAACAATAACCAAGTTGAGAACACTCAGACTGGCATCCACAATGCATCTGAAAACAGACTTGCTCTTCCTCTCTCCAGTTATCCTTGGTCTATCACAAGAATGCCCTATATGATGTGGGTCAAAATACTCTGTTTTATGGAAAAACCTTATTCATTGTTCCCACCATTGATTCAGACCACATAACCTTTCTACTCTTCACCCAGAGCATCAGCAGGAATGGCTGCATCCATGTGCTTCTCATATAAAAATATGAAGCTTACATTCATCATCTACTCAATGAGTTTCAGACATGGACTGCATTTGGGAGGCAAAGACAGGCAGATCTCTGTGAGTTTGAGGCCAGCCTGATTTACCGTGTGAGTTCCAGGATAGCTAGGACTCTTACACTGAGAAACGTCTCAAAACAAACAAACAAACAAACAAACAAACAAACAAACAAACAAATTCTCTGCAAAACAGAGGAACAGAGGATTTCTTTTTTGGTTATAAACAGACAATCCTATCTCATTTCCTTATATTAAACAAAAACCTCTATAGTCATTCATCATACCTTGTTACTGCCTATTCTTGATGGTTGCATGTGACTGGTAAGTACCAGAAATACAACTAGAACAAATTAAAATATGGGATAAATATAAAATATAAGCTGAAATTCAGAACATGGAAAATAAATACCTCATTAATAATTCCCATATTAATCAGTTGTTAATATTTGAATACAATGGGTTAAATAAAATTTGCAATTAATTTCAATGGTTTCTCTTCTTCTTTTTACACTCTGACTACTTAAAAAGTTGAACTTACTCAATAAACATAGAATATTATACATATGTGATTTATATAGTACAGTGCTGTATTAAACTGTGTGAAGTGCTAGGAGTATAGGAATTGCTGGTCACAGTGGCTTATGTCTATAATTCTAGCACTGAGAGGCTGAGGCAGGAAGACTGCTATGAAAACAAGGTCAGCTTAGGCTACTGCAGACAGACAGTCCACCTCTAAACCATTATTTTCTTCAAGGAATTCACACCCACTCTATCATCCTATCACTTTATTATGCTATATGTCGAATACACTGCCTTACTCTAACAGTTGATGACCTAACTTCACAGTCAAATCTGGATCTTTTAAGTGAGTGGCTTAGTCATCAACAACTAATGAATGAGTGGGCAAAAATTAGTTACTAGTTAGAGACCTTAAAACAGAAGTGTAGAACTGTAGGAACTATCAAGCATTCTTCATTCCTGATGAGGGTTTTGTAAGCATGATAATAAATGGGAGGTTAGCCCTTTTAAGATTGAGGTAATATAGTCATATCATGGTATGAATACCCAATACTTTAAGAGAAATAGGACACCTAAGTTCTAGTGGTGAAATCCATCAATATTACTATATATCCTATTTTAGGGAGACACTGTAGCCCTGCCTCCTAGGAGCTAGCTACAGGTATGCCTGACTATGCCTGTCAGGGCATGGTCAGGGGAGGTTCAGGATGATGCATGGGGAGTTCTTAAGGGGGCGGCAGACACGTGGGAGCTCTCGCTGGCCTCCCTAGCCTGCTGTCTGTGGGCATGCTCTGGCTTATGCTTGGCTGGTGTTTATCTGAATAAAGATATCTTAACCTCACGGACTATGGATCATCTTCGCTCACGCTATATCCTGGGATCAGAAATACAGAGGATTGGGGTGGCTATATCCACTGATGGAAAGAACATGTGTGGTTACTGTACTGGTAAGTACTGCAGAGATAGTTTACAGCTGAAATCTAAATCACTCAAGTAAGATGAACTAAATACATGCAGAGTTTGAGTTCAACTTCTTTGTCCTAGGAAGTAACAGGAGTTAAACTGAACGGGAAAGAAGATAGACATCTTCCTCTTGCATACCCAGTGCATCATGGAGGTACTGTTGTCCCACCAACTTGAGGTATTCCTCGATGGATTTCGTGGCAATGGTGTTTTCTCTGAAGATCAAGACATCATGCTCTCCACAACGATCTACCTCAGACATCACCAAGTCAGTCAGAAAATCCTGGCAGAATAATGCTCAGTCAGAAAGAAAGCAACTGAGTAAGGACTATACATTAGAAGAGACAACTGAAATAGCAGATGTCCTGGGAATGCTGCTATAAACTAAGCCACCAGATTTCTTGGAAAGGGAAAAGGCAGTCAGGCTAAAAAATCTTATGAACTGCCAGCTCTACATTTAATTTTTGAATTCCTTCAGACATTTTCTAATGCACTTTTGAAAAAGACCACAATTCTGAATGGATCTCTAAGTCTCTCTTTTTTGACTCCATCAAGTATTATTCTCTCTGCTCCAGTCCTTGCATATTATGCTAGCTTCTTTTTTATGTCCTTTAGTCCACACAGCCCATTCCACATACAGTGTTCTCTATTCACCACAAAAATCTTCTGCAAATACTGTTCTCAGGTATGCTCTACTTCCACTCTCACCTCCGCTCCCATTATCATAAAACTAATTTCTGGAAACCTGTAGATCTTCATTCACATACTGCTTCCTCCATGAAGCCCTCCAGATCAAGATTACCTGAGAGCCTCACTTGTCAGTTCCTCTTGCTCCACACCTCCATAGTATTATTTATCTTTTTACCCTCTGTACTTCTCACTATAATCACAGATTTACTTTTGTAATCAATGTGGTTCCTCCAGAAAACTGAAAGCCCCTAAAGAAAGTGTTTATTTTTGGTCAACATATCCATTGAAGACACACTTTCAGCACCTGACAGTTACTGGCACATGCTAGATGTTATTTTATCTTCCCAGTTTTCATTTCCACTTAGGTGAAAGATTGCCACGAAACAGCTGCCACCTCACTGTACAATACCCCTTGTGTTTCCATTTCAGATACACATTTTAATTCCATAAAGGCTTATACTTGTACATTTTTTGATTATCTCCTTCTGTACCACTGGGATATAGCCGGCAGTTAATCTTAAAATACATCATTTAATACTCCAGAAAAACTTCAGCTAGGCATGATGTTGCACACCTATATCATACCTTTAATCCTGGGATTTGGGAGGCTGAAGCAGGAGGATCACAAGTTTGAGGCTAGAATAGGCAATATAGTGACATCATGTTTCAGAAAAACAACAACAGTAACAACAGAAATCTGAACATACTGTGGGGTTATCATAGCAACTGTAACCATGGTATGTCTACCTTCATGAAAATAAACTAGAAATGAGTTACTTACTAGCTCCTCATTTCACTTTAGTTTAAAAATCTCTATACTGTACAGAACTGCTAATAAGCTTTCTTAACCTTAATTTCTCTTTTCTTTTCTTTTCTTCCTTCCTTTCTTTCTTTCTTTTTTAAAGATTTTATTTATTTATTATGTATACAACATTCTGCTTCCATGCACATCTGCACACCAGAAGAGGGCACCAGATCTTATAACGGATGGTTGTGAGCCACCATGTGTTTGCTGGGAATTGAACTCAGGACCTCTGGAAGAGCAGCCGGTGTTCTTAACCGCTGAGCCATCTCTCCAGCCCCCAATTTCCCTTTTCTTTTCTGAAAACTTTCTAAGCTGGATTTTCACAGTCTCTACCAGTATCCACAGTTTCATTTCCTTGAACATGGTAAAGGACTTTCAGGTAACACACCCTTTTTGACTTACCTTGGCTCTGCCAGTACTTTGAAGAATGTGTACTAAGGCACAAGCCAACTCCTCTTTATTCCTCACACTAATTACTGGCTCAAGAACAGAGCACAGCATGGTGTAGTTGCTGGTGATGAATTCTGCAAATTCTTTGTATTGCTCCATAGGCAGAATGGTGATGGTTTGGAAACGTGACTTAATCCGAATAGAAGGTCCTCCTGTCTTTCCTTTGTTGGGTGTGGGTGTACTCACTGGGTACCACTTTTCTACAAACTGGCGACCAGTCACACTGGCAGTGGGGATGTTGACTAGCCCTACATAATTATTCTTGTCCTTTTTTTTCTTTTTTTCCACATCCTTATAAATATGAACAGTGATGCTATGAAGATGTGGAAGGCTATAGAATTCAAAATGTTCACCCCAGAAAATATTGTCTGCTTTGGTCTTGCTGGTTGTACGAGCAAAGAGGGTATCATCAAGGCACAGTTCGCAGAAATATTTTTTTTTAGGGGCAAGGTCCTTGGCTTCAATGATCCATAAACGGAGAACATTTTCAGCTCGCCGACAATTGTCCTATAAAGAGACAGCAAATTTGAATTTGAGATCTGACATTCTAGAAAGAGAGCGTTTTCTCCTTAAAGTAATGCTAATTACTAATGTTTCTTTACTAAGAAGTAAACAGAGTAAAAATTGTTGCTATCTCATTGTTTTGAACCATAGAACTCTAAAGAAGAATCTTGTACTGGTTTAATGGGCAGATGCCCCTGTTGCCAAGCCCAATGAGCTGAATTTGATCCCAGGGCACACACTGTGGAAGGAAAAGAACTGCAAATTGTCCTCTGACTTCTACACATGCACTGTGCTGAAGCACACACATATAAATAAATGAAATTCAGAATATCTTTTAAAGAATCTTACAAACTGGGCAGTGATGGTGTAAGCTTTTAGCCCAGCAATCAGAAGGCAGAAGAATGTGGATCTCTGAGTTCCAGGCCAGCCTGGTCTACAGAGTAAGTTCCAGGACAGCCAGGGCTACATAGAGAAACCCTGTCTTGGAACAAAACAAAATCTTACAGAACCACATATTCTGTTTTATTTGGGTTAAAAAATATCATCAGGTAACAGTTAAGTACTCTACAGCTATTTATATGAGGCTGGACTAACTTCTAAAAATAAAAAAGTTAAGTTACTGATACTCTTGTTTTCTAGTATCATGTGTTTTCTTTCTTTCTTTTTTTTTTTTATCATGTATTAACTTCTGGTTGGGCATGTCACTTAGCTTTTTTGAGACTCTATTCCCACTGATAAAATGACAATAATATTGTCCCCAGTAAGATAATTTTCAGTGTAAAATGACCTAACATGTATACAGGTTTTTCAAACTGTCAATTCTAAGCCAGATGTGATAACAATTGCCTATAATTCCAGCCCTTCCTGGCTGGGACAGAAGGGTTGTAAGTTCAAGGCCAGTCTTGGTTACATAGTGAGCTCCTGTCTCAACAACAACAAATTATTAAGATTTATAAAATTAAGATAATACAGCCAAGCGGTGGTGGCGAGCACTCAGGAGGCAGAGGCAGGAGGATCTCTGTGAGTTCCAGACCAGCCCGGTCTACAAGAGCTAGTTCCAGAACAGGCTCTAAAAGCTACACAGAGAACTTCTATCAACTTGATGTTTACAAAGTGATACATTTTTTAAAAACTTTTATTAAACTTCAAATCTGTGTAACATGCATCTGATTAGCATAACTCCACCTTCCCACCCTCTTTCCTCCCCTTTCTACCAGTTCCTTTGTGACACATCACATCCCCCTCCCAACTTTCTGACACCCACTGAGTTTAATCAAGAGCATCTGTCTGTGTGACTGTGGAATCATCCACTACAGTCCGATAGGCTCCTCTGGTGGGTACACATCTGAAATCCGTACCTGCTCCACGCCCCCCCCCCCAAATGTACAAGTAGCCAACAGTTGAGCAGGGAGAAGTAGGACCCCTTGAACCTTTCCAACCCATGACTGACTGTTGACAGACCCCGTTTTGTGTGTGTCTGCGGCCACAGCAGCTGTGAGGTGATGAGTACATTGTCTGTGTATCTCTCAGCCCTTCTCCCTGTCTTCCTGCATTACATTCTTTCCGCTGCTCCCTCTTCTGAGAAGATCCATGAGCCTCAGAGAGGGTGGTATACATGTCCCTATTTGTGACACATTTTTTGACATTCAAAGCCACATTACCTTATTTGGCTGAACTGTCCTTCGAAGGTTTTCCATCCACTTATCTCTCTCTGAGGCAGAGTTACAGCTAAAGCATTTACTTCCACTTAAGTAGGTGACCTTCAACACAAAGATTAGAGATGCGGCTGTAAGACTATGTGTGTGGTGTCTAATTCCTAAAGTTTAAGAATTAAGGACATGTTAGGAAACCCACATCTTATTATGTGAAGGTAAAACAATCATTTTAGTTTTATCCTATCTTTACTTAAATTTTAATCTTTAAGTAGAATCCATATTTATGTCTAGCTATTAGAAAAACACTCATTTACAATTTGGCCTATGGTTTAGAGGAACAAAAAATTTAAGGATATATCTAACATTATCTATAAATGAATATACTCACTTGAGCTAATACAAAATAACTAAAAGGGGTGATGTTTGTAAAATCATTTGATTGCTAAGACTGCTTCATTACAATGCTACAGGAGGCTACTAAATAAAGCTGAAAGGCATCAGAACAGTTGAATCACTCTTGGGAATTAATTTCTCCTCCAGGAGACAACCAACTCATTGATTTCCGGTCATTTATAACAAATGACATAGTACACTATGTCTATAGTAGAAGCTACTGAACTGAGCTTTGCAAATAAGGAAAAATACAAGTGACCTTCAATAAGTAATAGTAATAATAAACAGATATAAATGGCATGCCCCAAGCTGCAGTCTGTTCACTTACACTCTCAGGTCATAATATGATGAATCAGATCAGATGGTATACTGTGTCTGAAATGGCAGCTCCTAGCTTTAGGTGGTTAGTGAGGGTGTGAGATGTGGCTGAGATGGACAGTTATTGAGTTAGGAACATGAAGGAGATTACAAAACTAAACAAGGTATGGTCCTAGGTCAAGAACTGCTCATGTTATAGTTATAAAACTGTAATTTTGGTGGATCTTTCCAAATTCTTTTAAAATTGGGGATTAAATAACAGTATATGACATTTTTATCAATATTAAAAAATATGCTATTGTTAATCTTATAACCTACACTGAGAATGTAATTAAGTGCTTAAGTTTTTAAAGCAGACAAAGGCATAAGGTAATCATTAACAACTTCTTTTACAAATATAATTCTATTAACAGATTTTCAAATCTTCCCTTATGAGTAGAAAAATTTCAGGAACTAAAAACCAGTTATGTAATCAAATCAGAAACACAACATTGAATTAGTCAAATTATTATCAATGATTCTCCCTTCTTTCTGCAATTCTTTTTCTTTTTTACCTCAAAGCAGAAGTCTTGTCCAAGGATGCTACTATGGAGTGGTTTCACTGACACTGGCTCCCCTCTACCAAGATCGAGACATTCTACTGCACTGCATGGACTCAGCAGGGACTCGTGTGAACGAGACTCTTTCAGTTTAGGCAGACCACGAGACCTACAAATAGAAGACACTTAAGTCAGTGTTACACGAAGGTCTAAGGGAAGGAGACTAACAACAATGTACAAAGGTGTGAGGGGAAAAATATAAAAGGAGGATCAAGTAAATACCCCACAATAACAACAGTTCTACCAGTCAAATTGTATATGGGTATATATACATAAACCATGAACACACTGTGAACACACCTTTTCAACAAACCATAAAAACAGAATAATTTTACAAGTCTCAAAGGACCTCTAAGTTCCTGTACAGATGTTTTTATTCTCATTTCTATATTGAAAAATGGAGAAATACATACTATTCAGAATTCTTTAACACTTTTATGCAAAAGTATTATCAAAAGACATTCTTATTTTATTTGACGGTTCACATCATTTATCTTCTTGTATCACTGACAATGGCTGAATCCTCAGTTGTTTCTTTGTGCTCTGGTAGATTCCCACTCACACGCCAGCATGTACAGTGAGCAAGAGAAAGCAAGCATGAGAGGCTAGAGAGACAGCAAGAAAGACACACTTTTCAGCACAAGAATGTCTTTCAAACAGCCAGATTTCCATCTCAATATGGAATTCTTTTCTGGCAAACTCTGACTTATATACATGCTCTACAGTATAAATATGAATAAAGAATAGAATGCCTTGAGGAATCTTCCCACCATAGTTTAAAGGAAGGAAGGAAGGAAGGAAGGAAGGAAGAAAGGAGGAAGGAAGGAAGGAAGGAAGGAAAGAAAGAAAGAAAGAAAGAAAGAAAGAAAGAAAGAAAGAAAGAAAGAAAGGAAGAAGGAAGGAAAGCAAGCCAAATTCCCCACAGAACAGCTGACACGGTTAGGCAGGCATCTTGGCTAATTCTACTTGCCTGGTCTTTTCAAAAGAATGGTGAGTATCCTAGCTCTTGTCACTACAGCAGCTAGTACTTCACTGCCTTCCTATTATAAAAATTAATGGAGTCAAACATAATGGAAAACAATTTTTCTAAATTCAAAATGTACGGTCACACAGTTTTAGTCAATAATTATCACACTTAATGACTGAAACACCCCTATGCTTCAAGTAGAAGGTCTTAGTAATAAGTCTACCAAGAAATGTCTGTGTAAAGGCATTTACTTTGGTAAAATCGTAGATAAGCAGCTTTATTCATTAACTAGTAACAAGGATAATACTGAAAGGAGCTGTAGTATTTATTGCCAGAAGAGTATTTCGCTAAATTGTTAAGCAATAGGCTATTGGAAACCAGCACTAAATTCACTATCTTCTCTCTCCACTCCACTCAGTCAAACTCCATAAATAAGGAACACCTTAAGCAATAAGGATAATTTAGCCTGCTGTTTTAACAAAAACAAAACAATAATAACCACCATCTAAAGTTTAGGCAGAAAACAAAACTGTTCTGATAGCATATTTTTTTTAAAGTAAAAAAGGAAACAGTAGTCCCCATTAATAATGCAAAGTATATACTACAGGGACAAGGGCCACCAAATATAGTGTACATAAAAATACAACAAAGCAACAGTTGTATTCATTTCCTTTTGCTCTGGACAAGAAAACGTGTTTGAAGTTATGTGGCACAAATGCAGCACAATCATAAGTAACTAAATGCTATTTTTTTAAACCTTAGTCAACTTATCATAACAGCCTTTCACGGTATGCTGAATCAGAAGCCAGACCAGACAAACAGGACACCATCATCTTTATTAAACGAACAGAAAATAATGATTCTAGCTATTTTTTCCAGGAGGAAAAAGCCTCTCTGGCTCTGGAATGATCAAGAGGTAAGTAAAACAGAAGGTGTTATGACAAAGTTTCTTTTATTTTTTATAATCTTCAAAACTTCAAGTTAATTTTATTTAAAACAAAATAAATGTCTACCTACATGAAGCAAGTGTACAGCCATCTGGTAGTGCAACCCCAAACCATAGCGGTGCCACATCCCGGTGTACCAAGTGATTTCCTGGACTACAACTCAGAAAACCTTCTGTTTAGAAGACAGGAACCAATTGAGGATGATTTCCCTTCTGCCTTCAGTTACTGATGCCATCTTTGCATAAATGCCTCTCAGGTGTTATTCAAGCCTCCAACAGAAGCAAGACAGAAACAAACAACCAACGGAGCAAGTCCTCTCTCTCCAAGCCCTGCAGTGCAGGTGACATCCCTCTGTTCCTCTAGGCTGCATCTAGCCCCTCAGGTAATACAAACAAGGTTCCAGGGCTCTAGGCTGGGCCTGTTGCCATGGTGCTCCACCTTTAAGGAGATTAGAGCTGGAAGGCAGCAGGGAGAAGCTGCAGCTGGCAGAACTCAGGGAGCATGCTCTGCAAACATGGCAAAGATGGCTGCTTTAAAGTAGAAGGGAGGGAGCAGTGAGGGCTCATTTCTGTCACTAAGTTCTCAGTCAAAGGCTGATAATGAATGCAGCTCTGGGGGCAGAGAATGATCGCTTATTAAAACTACTTAGAGGAAGCTTTAGCTTGTTTCATGTGGTTGCCAGATACCCTCTCACTAAATGGTATCCCCTATATCTCTTCTTGCAAGTACAATCTCTCATCCGTTGTTTCCTTTGCAGTGCCCACCCTAGTTAAAAGTCTCTTTTTTTTGCATGATTTATCTGATTTAAAATTATTTTCTAACTTCAGAGAAAAATGATTTTTTCCCCCAATAATCTTCAGCATAGTCCAACTTCCAATAGCTGCTAGAATAGCTCCTTCTAGTCATTTGGATAGCTTAAAATTACTGAAATTTCAATAATATAGTTCAGAATCTCCTATAGTTCAAAATGTGGATGCACACACATGAATCAATAGCCAAAGTCTAGTATGCCCAGCATTACTACTGAATAAATAAGCCAGCTCTTCCTGTGAGAAGACAGTGTCTCTGAGAAGTAATTCCCACAGAAGCATGATTACAGTAAACAGGAGATCAGACAGCCTGGGGATGGCTCAGGGCAAGAGTGGGGGAAGGAGGCATTATCTATCCAAACATTTCAATATGACATTAGAAACCCAGGTCACCTCTGATCATGTTACCTTCTCCTGTACCTTCACATGAACTGATTTCCACAGTTCTTCTAATGAGTTTTAGCATCTGGTGCCACCAGTTTACTCCTCTAACAGAACAGAATGGATATTTATTGGTAGAATAATGAGTATAAAGCAACTTTTCCAAGGTGAGCCTGACAAGGGCCTTCATCAAGATAATGTTCATTCCTTGACTACTGTTCCTGCCCTTCTCCTGACTGCTTTTCTTTGCCATCACTGTAAACACCACACAGGAATAATGCAGGGTTACAATGTGACTGTGAGAGACCCAGGCCTTAGCAGAACTGCAGCCATAGCACAAAGACCTGAGCAGTATGCAGCGACCCCCCCCCCCACCAGTGCGGCTTTAGTTAGTAGGATGTGACTGCCCCTGACCTTAGCCCTAGTTACAGAAAAGACCATGAACACCTCCCCCCAGGAATGGGCAAACAACTCCAGATATCCTTCTGCTGAGACTAAAATATTGCAATATCTCTAGACCCTCCTAATCCCAAGTCTGTAACTACAAAGTATTGGAATCCCCTAGCAGCCCCCCACCATCTAACCACAAAAGCCCCCACTCCATGCTGCTTGAAGTTTCTTCTGGTGTGCTGCTGCCTCAGATGGACGGAAAGACCCAAATTAACTCCCAATAAAGACTTTCTGCTTTTGCATCTGATCAGGTCTCTTGGTGGTCTTTTGGGGATCCAGACTTTCAGCACAACTGTCCCTTAATTTAACTGGGAAACTGCTTCTTAGAGGTTGATTTTATATACTCTACATTTCTATTTTAAGGTTAGCACAGTCTTGATTTCTTTGTCAACTTATGGACTGTGAAGGAAACCATTAGCATGGGTTAAAAATCTAATTGCTGATGAAGATGACTTGGGGCTTCTGACTGACTGAGGATATAAATGTCAAGAGAGGCTTTCTGTTACCACAGTAAATGAATGCCTGTAATACAGCTTCAACCTTCATCACTACTTAAAACAAGTCTCAAAAGAGAAAAGTGAATGGCTGGGGGATGGGGAGCCGTCACATACAAACCAGTGGATGGCACTGGTGCAAAAGAAAAAGAGTAAAAGAACTCTGATTAGTGTGATTTGAAATAAACACAGCTGGATTTTCTCAGCTTACCCATCTGATTTTTCAAAAAGTCACGTTTCCCTCACAGCTCCATTAACGCTTGGGATGGCTAGCTCAATCTGCCACATGTTTACAGATTCAGTTCCAAATTTAGGAACGGGGAAACTTTTAATTAAAAATGCTTATTGCCACACAAAATCCTGGACTCAATGCAGGTGAGTTTCTGCTTAGTTGGCAGTTATGATTCTGAACTGTGTCACTGAGTTCTTAAAGAGCGCTGAGCTGGTAGCTGGGCACTGCAGGACACTGGTGTTTAACTAGCATGCTTTTTTTTTTTTTTTTTTTGGTTTTTCGAGACAGGGTTTCTCTGTGTAGCTTTGGAGCCTATCCTGGCACTCGTTCTGGAGACCAGGCTGGCCTTGAACTCACAGAGATCTGCCTGCCTCTGCCTCCTGAATGCTGGGGTTTAAAGGCGTGCGCCACCAACGCCCGGCCCTAGCATGCATTTTAAGACACTCATTCTGAAATGTCCCAAGTAGTTATTAACAAACCTCGGTGTCACTATTCTCAACACATTTTAAACTGAGATCTCACAACAAAACAGCATTTCTTCCCCCGTTCTCTGGATTTTACTGTTTTATAATCAGATATTTTTTGAACCTTTCCAAGTGATTCTATCTGTTGAAAAACATGCAACTCTTCTGTATTGCAATTTTAGTTTTTTCTTTCAGGCTTTATATGGATCACTCACTAGTATTCTATTGTGTATTCAAAACCCACTTGTCTGAGAATCTTGATAGTTTCAGCTGCAATGGCTTACTTGCTGTAGATGACACTACTTTCTATTGCTTATGCTACTGATTTTTATGTTAGCCACACAGATAACTACTTACGGAAACAC